CTTGACACCATACATAGTTATTACAATATTATCGACTATATTCTCTAAGCTGTACTTTACCCTGTAACTATTTTGTAACTCCCAGTTTGTACTTCTTAACCTCTTCACCTTTTCTTTTCTATTTTTTTAATTTAATTGTTGTTCCAGTACAGCTTTCTGTCTTTCTTTACCTTTTTCATGCAGCAAACCAACCCCTTTCCCACAGAGTGACCAGCAGTTTGTTTTCTGTATCTCTCAGTTTTTTTCCTGTTTCATTTGTTCATTTATTTCGCTTTCTAGATCCCACATGTAAGTGAATCATATGGTATTTGTCTTTACCTATATGACTTATTTCACTTAGCATAATACCCTCTTGGTCCAGTCATGTTGTGGAAAATAAGGCTTTTTACGGCTGAGTAATATTCCATTGTATACAAGGTCTGGCACATATGATGTCCCTTTTTATTACAAAATCTTTATTACAAAATCATAAGCATGCAATTCTGTAGCATAAAAATATCATACTCAAGCATACCATATGATATTTTAGGTGAAATGTCCAAATTAAAACTATAAATTATTATACACATATTATTACCCTACCAACCACACTTAAGCAGGTGTTACTTCTGCTAGACCCTGTATATTTTCCACATCCATTTTTCTTTTGATTGGAGTATTCAATCTACTTACATTTAAGTTAATTTTTGATAGGTATGTAGTTATTGCCATTTTATTTTTTCTGATTGTTTTTGAAGTTTTCTGCTCCTCTCTTATTCTCTTGCTGTCTTGTGTGTTGTTGACTATCTAGAGTGTTGTGTTTGGATTCCTTTCTCTTTATTTTCATATATCTCTTATAGATTTCTGGTTTGTGGTTAACATGTGCTTCCTATATTCCAAGCTATGTTTATAACAGTCTATTTTAAGTTGATGGTCGCTTAAGTTCAAACACATTCTACATCATTATCATTTTTACTAACCACCTCATTTATTTTTGTTACTTTACTTTTGTTTGCTTGTGTGTATCCTTTAATTTACTGTTGCAATTACACACGATCTTCTTACTTTGTGTCTTTTAACTTTTATACTACCTTTATTGTTGGTTGACCCATTGCTTTTACTACGTGCTTGCCTTTGTCAGTAAAAATGTTTTTCTTTGGGATATTTTCTTATTGTTACTTTTAAATGATTTCCTTCTTTTTAAAGAAGTCCTTTTAACATTTTTTTGTACACTGCTTTGGTGGTGATAATTGTTTTAGCTTTTTCTCATCTGGGAAGCTCTTTATATTTCTTTCAATTCTAAATGAGAACCTTCCTGGCTAGAGTAATCTTGGTTATAGTCCTTACTTTTCATCACTTTGAGTATTTCTTGCCAATCCATTCTGGCCTGCAAAGTTTCTGTTGAGAAATCATGTGACAGTCTTATGAGAGCTCCTTTGTGAGTAACTAACTGCTTTTCTCTTGCTGCTTTTAAAAAGCTCTCTTTGTCTTTACATTTGGCATTTTAATGATTTAATGATGTACTTTGGTGCGGGCCTCTTTGGGTCCATGCTGTTTGTGACTTTTTGTGCTTCCTGGAGTTGTGTGTCTATTTCTTTTGGCAGGTTTGGGAGGTTTTCAGTCATTATTTCTTCAACTAGGTTTTCAATCCTTTGCTCTTCCTCTTCTCTTTCTGGTGTTGTTATGCTTGATGTTGCCCCAGACATTGCTTAAATTCTCATTTTCTTGAATTCTTTTTTTATTTTTTGCATTTCTGTTTGGGTATTTTCTGCTGTCTTGTCTTTTAAATCAGGGATTCAATCCTTTGCTTCATGTAATCTTCTGTGGATTCCTTCTAATGGTTTTTCCTTTGTTATAATATTCTTCATTTCTGTCTGGTTCTTTTTGTTTTTTGCTGATTTTTAGTTGAATTTATTGGGGTGACATTGGCTTATGAAACTATATATGTTTCAGGTGTACAATTCTATAATACATCATCTCTACATTGTATTTGTGTGTCCTTTTTTATTTGTTTTCTATCTCCTCTTTTTGTTTCCTATTTCATTGTTGAAGTTCTCACTGTGATCCTTTATTCCTCCCCTAAGTTCATTAAGCAACCTTATAAACATTGTTTTGAACTCTATATTTTGTTTATTGTTTGCCTCCATTTTGATTAGTGATTTTTCTGGTGTTTTGTCCTGTTCTTTCATTTGGGACATCTTTCTTTATCTCCCTGCTTTGGTTTTTATTTATTAGGTAGATCTGCTATGCCTCTCAGTTGTAGCTGGGTGGACTTATGTAGTAGGTTTCCTATGGGCCCCAGTGGCACAGTCTCCATGTTCACCTTAGCTGTGTGCTACCGGGTGCATCCCTTGTGTGGGTTGTGTGTACTCTCTCTCCTATTGTAGTTGAGCCTTGATTGCTGTTGGCATGTCAGAGTGTGGGACTGACTCTCAGGCTAACTGACTGTGAGGACCAACCATGAAGACAGAGGATGAACTATTGTGTGGGTGCTGACCTACTGTGGAGGCTGACCCTACTGAGTAGCATTCACTTTATCGAGGCTCTGGTGCCTGCCAAATTTACCATTAGGGTGGTGCTCTGGTGTGATCTGAGGCAGGCCACCAGGTGTGTTGGTTCTGGGACTTCTTGGGAGGGGCTCTGGTGTAGGCCAACTGTTGCTTGTATCTTTCCTGGGGTCCCCTGCTAGGAGCTACACAGTGATCTGCATGTGGTAGCTGCTTGTGCTGGACTTGGAGGTGACTGGAAATGATTACACTGCGACCTGAGTCTAGCTGCCACACTTAGCAAGAGTTACAGGGCACCATAAAGCCAGCTGCTGCTTGTATGGAGTTTGTGGACCTTTGAGAGGTTTAGGAAAGTCTGCAGCATGGACTCAGGATGGTTGTGTTGATTAGCCTCTGAAAGATCTTAGGCTGGCATATGGATTGGGTGTGGTAGGGTACCACAGAATCATTGGGAAGGTGAGAGTGAGAATGATGTTGAAATTTGTTGCTCACCTGTGCCTGCTGTGTGGAGGAGGGATCATCAGAGAAACAATGCTGCCTGCTGAGACTTCAGTTCCAGAGAGAGCTGCCCCATGAGCCCTTGCCCTGTGAAGCCAGACAATTCATTTTTCCCCATATTTTCCTGGCATGTTCATAGTGTTTTTTAATTGGCTGTCCATTTTCTGGAGCTTAGGACAAGTGTTTGTGAGTGAGTTTGTACTTGAGCCTTTCAAGAGGATGTCTGAGTCTCCAGTGGCCCTCCATCACACTAAATGCAATTCCCATTGATTTTACAGCCAGATATTGTGGGGACTGTTGTTCTCAGTACTGGTGCTCAAGACTAGGGAGCCCAGTCTGGGGCTGGAACCCTTTGTTCCTTAGGGGACACATCTGCAGACAAGATATCCCTTCTGATCCTTAACTGCAACACGTGTGTATGGGACCAATCCATTTTGCATCTCCACCCCTCCTACAAGTCTTGTTGTGGCTTCTTAAAGAAGAAACCTTAGTTACTAACTATATCCTTAGTTAGAGGAGTTCTTTTCACCTAGTCTTCAGGTAGTTCTCAGGGTGATTGTTCTATAATTTAGTTGTAATTTGGATGTTTTCCTGAGAGGAGGCAAGCACAGTGTTTACCTATTCCCTTTTGACAGAAGTCCTCTTGAAAATAGTTTTAAACTGGACTGGCAGTCTTTTCTCATCAACTGTCATTTTTGAAAAGGTCTCTGTATATAGGTTACATGATTTTCTATGATCTTTGAGATTAACTAATTTATGAGATTATTATGAATTGACTAAATTCCTAATTGAATAACTTCATTATCATTGGAATGTAAAAATTCTACTTTTTACATTCACATCTTTTTCTCTGGATTTCTCAATCATGCCCTCACTGACTAATTTTATTAAAGGAAATCCAATTTTGTAAAACAAAATTTTCTCCGATGCTTTTGCTTTTAGCATAGGCTACTGCCAAGAAAATTTTAGATTAAAATGAAGATAACCCACTTCTTAAAATTCATGAGTCAACATTAGGGCTGATAGTGATGATGATTAATATTCTTTCCTGTTTGGGCCACCTTTTTGGATTTTTTAAATAAGATCCTTATATTCCAGGGGCAAATATGCAGAAATTTGATTCATAGCACAAAGTATCAAGCTAACTAATTTAGAAAAATTTCTTTTACCATTGTTCTAGATATCCACTTGTTAAATTTTCTTCTTTACTTTTTGTTATTTTTTATCAATAGATACTTGACATCTATTTTCATGTTAAAATACTTACATAAAAGTTTTGATAAATTCACTGACCAATGATTTATTTATAGATGTTATTTTATCTACAAAGGTGTTATGTTTTTACAGACCAATGATTTATTTATAGATGCTATTTTATTTACAAAGTTATTATATCTGAAAATAGTTTTTTGTTTGTTTTTCTTTTTTAGTTGTGGGGATAATTTCATGCATATCTAGTATTTTATACATAGTTATTATTTACTTCTATATGGTGCTTTATCCATACTTGGATCTTTTTGCTTGGGAGGTTTATCATAAAATGATGAAATTTTATCTTCAGGTGGAAAAAACTGGTTTCTACTATCTGGAAAAAGTACTTTTATTTGAACATCCAAATACACACAGTGAACAGTAGCTGTGTCATAGAACCCATCTTGAGTTTCATCTCAATATGCTAACTATTTTGGTAAAAATACCTCTAAAAATTTAACATAAAAAAATTCAAGTTCATTTTTTTGGAGGTAACTGAGGGCTGACTGGTATACTAGGTACATTTTTCATCTCTTTATTCTCATGGCACACAGGTAATGCTAACACTCAATATCTTCTCAAGCCAAAATGCATATTAAAAACATTTACCAAATCCTTCTCTTACAAAGCCTTCTATTTTACTTTTCTTTGTCCTTAAGTTTTTGCTCAATATGATATAAATCATCTACAGGACACTAAGTTATGCTTTAAAAATCATTTTATTTTTCTAATGGAAATAAGCATTGTATATCAAGTACAAAAGCTTTAGTGTTTGTCCTGGTGAGGTTGTGATGAAGATTTGGAAATACCAGTGTTAGTTCGAGAAAACACCTTTGACAGAGCTGAAGATACCTTTGACAGCACTTTAGATCTTTGTTTGGACATACTGGCCTTGGGAGTTCCTGTGGATAAAGCAAATAAGTAATATGCATATTTATTAGGTATTTTAATATTACAATCATACTATAGCATTGGTTTTGTAGAATTTAGGAATTGACACAAAAATACTTCATAGGTTTAAAATCATTTGCAAAGATTATTTTCCTGTGTAGGAAACAGGAAGAATGGTATCTCCATATATCCAAAGATATTGAATACTGATGAGGTCGAACAACTTGCCTAAGATTACTCAAGTGGAAAGTGGCTAAGGTCAGGGGATAGGGTCCAGCCTTCTCATTCTCATTGCATCATTATATCTATTGCACTCTGAGGCTTCTTTAGTCAGATATGCAAAAATTGCTTTTCATTGCCTAGCAGGAAACTCCCTGAAGAAGATTCATGAACTAAACTCATATGGAGAACTAGCTTTCAATTCGATACAAGACAGGGGTCTATTTCAGAGTGGTCAAGTGAAAGCAGAAGTGTATGTATTAAGATACCTCAAACAGTATAACTGAGAATAGAATAGAGTAGAGATATCTAAAGCACTGTTTCTCATTGTGTGTATAATAGAGTGATCTGTAGAAATTTAAAAATAATATGAATCCTTGGATCACAAATCACCAGTTGCAAAGAAACCCCTGAGAGTGGTGCAGATATTGATATTTAAAAATAAATGCACACATAACTCTAATGTATGAGAATTAGAGTTGACAATCCCTAATCCAAAAGCAGGGAACAGATGCTACCATGTGTCTCAGATGAGTAAATACACTTAAGTTCTGCTGAGAATCCCTATCTTCCCATTTGATCCCAGCATATTTGCCATTACTTCTTGGAAATTTTTGTAATCACAGCTTTAAAATTTTTGCCTGAAAATTTAAGTATGTTGGCTACATTGGAGATTGACATCTTTTGTCTATCTTAAAAGTTGTAGACATTGTCTTAGTTGTTTGAAGAGTTGTAGAAAAATTCTTGATAGCTGAAGATTTCATTCAGATTTAAATTATTTCAGATTTCATTTTATATTTTATATAAAACTAAGAATGTATATTTTCAACTCTGACCTCTCCATTGAACTCCAGACTCAAGTATCCTATTACTTATAAGACTGGTGCCTTGACTTGAATGTCTAAGTACCTCAGTCTTGTCAGAACTGAACAGAAGTTTTGTGTACCTACCCTTAGTTACTTCCATAGTCTCTCCTACTGTACTAAATGCCTCCTTCTACTAAGTGCCTGTTTTAAGCTCTTGAAAATACATTTGTGATCATCATGGAGTTTACCCTCTATAAGGAGGTAGCAACAAAATTGACAGCTAGATAATAACAAATGCCAGACAGAAAAAGAAGCAATGAAGTGGGGTAGGTAGTGCCATGCTGGGAATGAGGTTACAATTTCACAAAGTTTAGTCAAAGAAGACCTCACCAAGAAGGTGACATTTGAATAAAATTCTGAAGGTGAGGACTGAACAATGCAGATACAAGAGGAAGAGTACTGCACAAGGATCAGCAAAAACACTGATGCCACTGATACCTGGGTGTTTAAGGAGGAGCAAAGCAGCAAGCGAGGCTGGAGCAGAGTGAGTCAGAGAGAGGAGCAAAACAGGTAGTTAGAGAGGTGATAGAGGATTGGAGGGTAATGTTCAGATGATGTAGGGTTTTTCAAGCCTTTGCAGTTTCTTTGGTTTTTATCCCAGATAAGCTGGTAAGTACTTATTATCTGAACTTATTATCTTATTATCTTGTTTATGTTCTTACCCTTTGATACCCTGCCCCAAGTCGCAATGTAAATTCTATGAGATCAAGGAATTTGTCAGGTTTGTTCATACATGGGATGTAACACAGAGGAGATGCTCAATAACTTTTTGAATGAATGAATAAATAAATGATTGAATTAGACAGCTGCAATACTGGTGAAAAATTAAAAATGATGATTGCAACACAGTAGGAAAAAACAAAACAAACTGAATGTATGGGTCTGGACTGGACTCTGTCTCTGACTCAAAGCAACCTTGGACAAGTCCTTTCCTCACCCCGAACTTGAGTTTCCTCATGCAAACAATTGAGGACATTGTATTAAGTAGTTTCTCTCTGACTTTAACAGCCTATGATTCTGTAATACAGGTGTGATTATCAGTGCTTATTTTGATACCTTCTGGTTATGGTGTATTCATAGAATTCTGGCATACTTATTGGTGCTGTACTATGACCCATCTTAGTGAAAATGATTTACACTTTGACCTTCTGTGAGAGAACATATTTCTTGAGTGGGTTGCATGTTTGAAAGAGCTAGGGTAAACCTGTGGTTTGAGTTTCAAGGCCACTTAATAGTTAACACAGCACTTGCTCCCTCATGCATGCCATCAATGTTAGAACCACACTGATCCTCTGAGGATTCAATAAATAGAAAACCAAAAAGTCCTCACAAGTTTTCTGAGTGGGTACTAAGAGATTTTTTTAAAAAAGTGAGGTCCGTACTAGCCAGATTGTAATGTCATCATATAAATTTAGCTCTGAAAGCCCCCCTCCACCCCCTTTTTAGGTACATTTTGGTTGGGCACAAAGGTAGAGGCCACAAAGATAGAAGCACAAAGGCAGAATAACCTTTCAAAAAAAAATTGTTAAATCCCAGTGTCATGCATTCTACCTCAGATAGAAATTATGGCATGATAGACCTTATTTTGTGCATATTTCTCACAGGAGCATGATAAATGTAAATTCATAATATCATACTATATTCTTGATCAAAATCATTAATAAAATCTTAATAGCAAATCGGACAAAGCAAACTATTTGGCTTATTCAAACATCTGAGTGATGTAGGACTAGATAATATTTCTAAAAGTAGTTAAAACTCACAGGAAATAAAAATAGCAGAGTATAAACTTTAGATTTGATGACTAAAAAAGTATCAAAACAGTAAACAAAGTCCTCTTTTGAATACTTTCTAATTTAAGTTAAAAAAATAAATCTGACCTTCTGATATATTATCATGTGTATCTGGAGTACAATCTTCAGTCTCACTAAAACAAAAGAAAAAGAGCATTTCATTTTCTGTGCATTTAATGAATAAAAGAATTACCAGTTAAACAAAAGAACAATCTGTCAGTCAATCTTCACATAGAAATAAACTTGGAATACTGTATTGCTGAATTTCCAAATTAATAAATATGATATCTAAATTGACTTTTTTCTACTTGAAGAATTTTGGTTAAATATATATAGCATAAAATTTAACATTGCCACACTATCTTAAGTGTACAATTCTGTGCTTGAGTACACTCACATTGTTGTGCAACTATCACCATCATCCATCTCCAGAATGTTTCATTTTCCCAAACCAATACTCTGTGCCCATTTGTTCCTGACACCCCAGAATCCCCGCTCTCCACCCCCAAAACCACCATTCTGCTTTCCAGTTTGACTTCTCTAAGTATCTCATGTGAGTGGAATCGTAGTATTTGTCCTTTTGTGACTGACTTATTTCACTTAGTATGTCATTTTCAACATTCATACATGTTGAAGCATGTCTCAGAATTTCCCTCATTGTTTAAGGCTGAACAATATACTATTGAATGTATATAACACATTTTATTTACCATTCATCCATCATGTTGTGGCTTCCATGATTTGTATTATGAGTAATATTGCTCAAACAGATACCTGTTTGAGTCTCTGTTCTCAATTCCTTTTGGTGTATCCCCAGAAGTGAAATTGCTGGATCATATGGTAACTATACATTTTATTTTTTATTTTTTGAGAAACTGTCATACTGTTTTCCACAGTGACCATATCATTTTAAATTCCCAACCACAATGTATGAAGGTTTAAATTTCTTCTCATTCTTGATGACATATTATTTTCTGATTTTTAAAAGAACTATTTTAATCAATGTGAACAGCATCTCATTACAGTTTTGATTTGCATCTCCCTAATGATTAGTGATGGTGAGCAACTTTTCATGCGCTTATTTACCATTTGTATATTTTCTCTGGAAAAATAGTGATTCATGTCCTTTGTCCAATTTTTAATTATGTTATTTTTGTTGTTGATGGTGGTCATGAGTTATAGGAGTACTTTATATATTCTAGATATATCAGGTATATGAATTGCAAATATTTTCTCCCATTCTATGGGTTGAATTTTCACTCTATCCTTTGAAGCACAAAATATTTTAATTTTGGTAAAGTCCAATTTATTTAATATTTTTGTTCCTTGTACTTTTAGTGTTTTATCTATAAAATTATCACCAATTCCAATTGTGTGGGGTTATATAGTTTCCCTAACAACATTTGTTAAAAAGACTGTATTTCCCCCACTGAATGGTCTTGCCATGCTTAGAAAAAAATCACTTGACCACATATGAACGATTTGTTTTGGGACTCTATTCTATTCCACTAAATAGAAACCTAGTTGTAGGTTTCCTACATATGGCTTTTACTATTTTGAGATAATTTCCTATTATTCCTAATGTGTTCAGTGTTATTATCTTGAATAGTTGTTAAATTTTGTCATATGGTTTCTATGCACTAATTTAGATGAGAATGTGTGTGTTTCCTTTACCCTGTTAATGCTTGTATTACATTGATTGAATTTTATATGTTGAACCTCCATTGTATTCTTGGGATAAAGCACACTTCACCATGGTATATAATCTATTTAATGTGCTGTTGAATTTTGTTTGCTAGAATTTTGTTAAAAGGCATTTGCATCATTATTCATCAGAGATTTTTTTTTGTAGTTTTCTTTTCTTATGGTGTCTTTGTTTAACTTTGGTATCAGTAAAGCTGGCCTCATGTTTTGAAAATATTCCCTTCTCTCCAATATTTTGGAAGATTTTTGAGAGGGTTGGTGTTAATTTTCCTTAAATGTTTTCTAGAATTTATCAGTGAAAGCATCTGGTTCTGAGCTTTCCTTTGTTAGTAGGTTTGCAATTACTGGCTTATTCTCCTTACTAGGTCTAGGTCTGTCCAGATTTTCTGTTTCTTGATGATTCAGTCTTGTTGAGTTTTGCATTTCTAGGAATTTATCTGTTTCCTTTAGGTTATCCAATTGTTGTCATATAATTGTTCATAGTACTTTCTTGTAATCCTTTCTATTTATATACACTGAGTTGTAATGGCCCTTCTTTCATTTATGATTTTAGGTATTTGAGTAGTCTCTCTCTTTTTTTTTAGACAATCTAGAAAAAGGGCCAATTTTGTTGATCTTTTTAAAGAACCAACTCTTGACTTCACTTGTTTTTCTCTGTTGCTTTTCTAGTCTTTATTGTTTATTTGTGCTATAATTTTTATTACTTCCTTCTGCTAGTTTTTGAGTTTAGTTTTTCTTTTTCTAGTTGTTTAAGGTGTAAATTAGGTTATTGTTATGATTTTTTAATGAGGAAATTACTGCTATAAATTGCACTTGCACTACTTTTATTGCATCTCATACATTTTAGTACCATATTGTTTTCATTTGTCTTGAATATTTTCTACTCTCCATGTGATTTCTTCTTTTACCCACTGATTGTTTAAGAATATGTCATTTAATTTCCGAGTCTTTGTAAGTTTTCCAGTTTTCCTTTTGCTATTGAATTCTAAATTTATTCCACTGTAATTAGAAAAGAGTTTGTGTGATTTCTAGGTATATATTCTTCTCAGGCTCCTATGAAGTTGTTTTATCAGTCTGTAGTTTATTTTTTGTTTCTCAGAGCAAACAAGGGCCTTCAGTTTTCTGCTCTTCTATCTTGCTCTAAATTGACTTTCATTTGGTATTTTCTGTGCCCTTGTCTTCATCATTGATATAAATAGTAGGGAGATGCTTGCATTACTAATCATGTATGTTTAAATAACCATTTTGCAGGAATAAAAGGCAATAACGGTCCAGGAATAAATGTCCCCAAGTAGTGTTAGTTTCAGAGTCAAGAAGAAACAATTCCTTTATGCTGTGTGGAAAAAGAAATGTAATCAAGTATATTTTTCTCCTTATATCCACTGTTTATCTACAACAGAGAATGTTACCTCTTCCAGCTTATGCATAGTTTTATAAACTTAAGAACAACTTTAGATAAGTTTTAACTGTTCTAGATATAGTTATTAATTAGATGTTAGGTCTACAGTGTATTTTGCTCTTTGTTCTCCAAAAATGCCCTGCTGTCTGGACTCTGCTCCTATAGTCATCCTAACTTGGATTGTCTTCTCCTCACACAAATGTTCTCAAACCTTATGTTCCCACATCAAACTCCATTGCTTTCTAGAATTTATTTCAGTATGCTCTGAATTTCATGGATCCGTCTCTCCTTTGAATTCTTCTTACAAGCGGTTGCAGGACTGGAACACTTAGTTTCTAAAGAGATTTGAGCAGGAAACCTTTGGGCAGGTGGTACAAATATGATTGTGACCCAATACTTATCTTCCAAATACAAACAAACAAACAAACAAACAAACAAACTGCACTAGCAATTTCTTGATCCAAGATACTGCTGGACTAGACAGAATGTATAGGCTGGGAGAAAAAAAAGCGGGGATCAAATAGAAAGGCAAGGCCTTATGAAGTATCTACAATATGGGAGGGAAGAATAAGGGGTGAGGGGGAGTCTAGGACGAAATACTTGCTCGATTACTATTTTACCAGGGAAACCATTCTTCCTATAGGCATTGCTTTCATCTCAGATTTCTATTTTTGTAATGCTTTAATTTCATGTACCTGGCAGATGAAATCAGATCTTCTTGGTTGTATGAAGATGAACTCATAATTCTGTGTATGAGGTAATATGTTGGTTCACTAGTATTAATTTTTTCTTTTTCCTGAAAAAGTGAGAGCCAGGTATTACTGTACTCTAATGTACAATATGAGAAAAGATTTTAGAGATTATTTAAAAGATAGATGAACCCTATAATTATAATTAAAATATTTATTTCTAGTATAATTCTTTGGAATTGGCTCAGTGAAGATGACCTATTATTATAATATTGGAATTTGAATAGATTTTAAAGACAAACCTAACACAATGTTGAAGAATACAGTTTACCATTTCTTCACTTTACTAACATTGTAATAATATCTTACTGAGTTCAAAAGCAAAAAGAACAGATATAACTCTGGTCAGTTCAGAAGATTGTCAGGTCACTGGTAATCATCATAACCAGTGCTCTGATCTGTTTGTTGGGAAATCATGTGTAATTTCATGGCCATATTTTTTTATGAGAATGTCTTTATTTTGATGTTTGTTAGAATGTAAAAAATGGCTAATCTTAATGGGACTATTACTCATACAATCTATTTTAACTTTTGCTAATGTTACTCTAAAACATTTTTAAAAACATTGTATAAGTTTTAGAAATACATTATAATTCAACATTTGCATACACTAAAAAGTGACCACCCCCGTAAGTCTAGTTACTATTTATTAGCATACAATTGACCCCCTTCCACCCTGTCACCAGTCAGTTTACTCTCTTACCTTCTTCCAGTCCCCACTGATCTGTTCTCTGAATCTATGAGGGTTTTTTTATGTTTTGTTCATTTGTTTTTTTAAAAAAGATTTTCACATACAAGTGAAACATGTGGTAGTTGTCTTTCTCTTTCTGATTTATTTCATTTAACATTACACCTTTAAGGTCTGTCCATTTTGCCAAAAATGCCAAGATTTCATTATTTTTTATGGCTTACTAGTATTCCATTATATGTGTAACCTCAACTGCTTTATCTACTCATCCATTGGTGGACACTTAGGTAGCATTCTAGTTTTATACCATTGTGGTCAGAAGAGAGACTTGATAATTTCAGTCTTCTTAAATTTATCAAGGCTTGTTTTGCAGCCTATCATGTGATCTATCCTTGAAAATGTTTTAAATCATTTTGAGAAGATGTGTATTTTGCTGATTTTGGGATTGAATGGTCTGCATGTGTGAATCTACAGGGTGGGGCCAAAATATTTTTATAGTTGTGACTACATGAAATAGAGTTTATCCTTACATCTTTATTTATTAATTATTTATTATTTTCATATGAACTGTAAGAATACTTTGGATCCATCCTGTATATATTCACCTGGTCAAATATGTTATTCAAAGCTGATATTCCCTTACTGATTTTCTGTCTCAATAATCTATCCATTCGTGTGAGTGGTGTGTTAAAGTCCCTTATTATTGTACTGTTGTCAATTTCTCTCTTTAGGTCCATTAATATTTTAGTACTCTTATGTTGAGTCCATATATGTTTATAAGTGCTATAGTCTCTTGAATGGTTGCCCCTTTTAACATTATGTAATGCCATTGTCTTTCATTACAGTCTTCATTTTAGTGTCTGCTTTGTCTGATATGATTATAGATATAGAGCTTTTGTTTTCATTTGCATATAATATTTTTCTATCTTTTTACATTCAGTCTGTGTGTGTCCTTACTGCTTTTAGTGAAACCCTTTAAAGCAACATATGAGTCTTGTTTTTTGATCCAATCAACCACTATTTTTTGATTAGTAGATTTAGTCCATTTACATTTAAAGTAGTTATTGATAAGTATGTATTTATAGCCATTTACTCATTTTCTAGTGCTTTGGTAGTTACTCTATTTCTTTCTTCTTTTTCTCTCTCTTTCCTTGTGGTTTGATGGTTTTGTTTACTGTTATGTTTTGAATCCTCTCTTATTTTCTTTTGTGTTTACTCTAGTTTTTTTGTGGTTATAGTGAGGTTTACATATAACCTCATAAATATATAGCAGTCTAGGTTAAGCTGTTATCAACTTAAATTTAAACACATTCCAAAGCTTTATATTTTTACTCCTCCCTTTTATTATTTGATGACACATTTTACTACTTTCCTTCAACAGAATTTTATTGTTTAATCTATTATTTCCCTTACTCTATAAATATTACCAGGCTAAGGAAAACACTGGAATCATTTTAGTAGTTTTTCTGCCTAATTAAAGTATATTTTTGGACAGAATTTCTGAAGATCTCCATTCTTTCCATTTATATCCAGTCACTGATAGTCATGTTTCTCACTCACCTTCTGCTGTGGCTTTTTCTCCATAGAAGATTCTGTTACAGCTATGGTTTTTGAGCAGGTGGGCATATCAAGCTCAGCAACAGATCTTTTAACTTCTTTCTCTTTATGTTCTTTTAGATGATCTGAGCTTCTTTCAGTGCTTACAGTATTTGTTTTTGTGGTTTCTTTCACTTGATTTTCAAATTGTTCTCCTGAGAATTTTTCTTTAATAACCTCTTTTAAAACAACTTCATATTCATCAGACGATAGTTCCTCTTTCAGGCTACTTTCTGAATCATCTTCAATATCATGAGCTACTAATCGAATGAGAAGATCTTTTTTGTTCTGAACATCTTTTAAAAGCTCCACCCTGGTGATATCTGGCTTCCTTATATTTGGAAATGAATTTCTGCAAACAATCTGAAATTGAAATTACAATGACAAATCCCTCAATCACTTTTCTTATGATTCTATTGTGATAAAGCTATGTTAATATGATTTCTATTTTCAATTAGGTAATATTATGTTCACATGCCACTCACTTATACTTAACAATGTTTTAAGAAGACACAAATGAAAAGTATAAGAAAAATTATAAAAATATTTTATCATTTCTTTTACACTCAGAGATCATATTAATCCACTATAATTTATGTCAAAGTATAGAAAGTCTAACACAGTTCTTTTTTTCTTAAACTTTATATATTTTGTTCCATCATAATTTACATTTTGTACATTTACTTCTAAAGTTTTGTGACAGTAGACATGGTCATCTATTTTTCTAAAAATCTAGATAAGAAACCATAGAGAAATCTAATTTTTAAAAAATAAAAATCTAGTTATTATCTAATCTTGATTTTTGAAATACAAAAAACCAAAATTGTGAGGTTTTTTATTTCTTCACCCATCTCCTTCTACTGATCCTTTGGATATAATCTCACCTCCCTAATCAAATCTCACTTTCCATTTTCAATGACTAAGTTCAAAGACAACTATAATTCAAGAATAGAATTTCTCCACTCTTGTAGCTTTTGATGATGCCACAAAACCTCCAAACTGACTTAAGTTAATAACCATAGACCTCAACATGTCTTTGTAACATGGTAAACCAGTTTTCAGAAAATGGTGCCCTAAAAGAATATATTATGCTGAAACAAATTATAGAAACTCCCTCCTTAGAAAATTAAAACAATCAAGTTTGATTTTCTGTGTTAGTAGAGGGAACTAGTGGTTTAAAAAAGTCTAAAATCATTCTACATGGCTTTGAATTCATTATTATATATGTTCCTTTAACTTTTAATTAACCATTGTTTAAATAGTTCATTTTTGTTGTAATTTTTCCATTACCTTTCTTCCCCCAAATACCCTCTTCCATACCCATAATGCATATGCCTTATACACTGGAAATTTATGGTACCTCAAAAAAGATAATAAAACTTTGAGGAGAAGCCAACATGTGTCTGGGTTCTCTGATGTGATTTACTGCTTTTTTGTCTCTTGTCTTCCTCTATGCTGGAGATAGATAGTGTTGGCACCACACTGATACAAATCACATATTTTAACAGAGTGTGCTACAAGGGGTGGCCCTCTAAAAAAACCCAGAATTGATTTATTAAAAAATTGTATATTATTCTTGTATGTTTAAACTTCAGTCACCTTCAAAATACTCTCCATTTGATGCAGTACATCTATTGTGACATTTTTTCCACTGCTCAAAACATTTTTTGAACTCTTTGATTTTGTTGCCTTTCAGTGTTTTTGCTGTTTTTGTTTCATCTCTTCCATACTGGCAAAATGTTTCCCTTTGAAGACTTTTTTCATCCAAGGAAAATTTAAAAAAAATGTTGCTCAGGGCAAGATCAGGTGAATAGGGAGGGTGGGACACAGGAGTCATGCTGTTTTTGGTCAAAAACTACCCAGTACTCCACGCAGTGTGAGTAGGTGCATGGTAAATCACCCCTCATAAAATTGACAAACATGTTGAAAGAGTCTTCAAAAAAATTCACTGAAGCTGAATGCAGCCTCTGACAATACCAAGTGGTACACTGATACAGATGGGTTCCTAGAGTATTTGCCTAACAGGGAAACCTGTACTATAAGAGGCCCACCCTCCAGAAGATAATTCCATTTGGGAGGGGTCTCCCTTATATCTCTGCTTTAGTTTTAGGATGACTTTTCTTTCCCTTAAGAGGACAGGGTAACTATTTGATTAAAATATTTCCTTCCTGCTTTCTGGGGTCTATGAATGAATGAATGAATGAATGAATGAATGATAAAGAGCTGGTAAATAAGTGTAAAAGTTGTGACAGAAAATTTGTGACAGATTTAGAGTAGTCATTCTACAGACTGTTCATACAAATTTTACTCCTAAGAGATTATTTATATATAAATGAAGACTACCAAGTGATACGCTAATACAATGATGAGAACTCATATGGAATAGCAAATTTTTGAGCTGACAAGGACTGTTATCTAGTCCAAAAAGTTTAGGACAAAAAAGATGAAATTACTGTCTCAGTGTCTGGGTTTGAAAACATAAGGCACTCCTTAACATACTTGTATTTACCAACCCCGAGACTTAGTTCAGTAGGCTGCAAGGCAGTGCTAGAAAAAATTCACTTCAAGTTTATGCTCCAGGGAGAATGATTCTATAATTTTATTCTAGTTTTCCAGGCCACAGATTATAAACATAAACACACTTAGAACTCATATGAATAAACTCCTTTAGTACAAAGGGCTTTGATAAAACCCAAAAGGCATAGTGGATCAGTGTAATTCCATTGTCCAGATAATCCCTTTGTCCTTGGTGATACCATTTCCTTGTAACAAGGACATAATTTTAGCACTTTAAGGTCCTGAATGGTTTAATATATTTGGGGCTTAGGCAGAGTTAGGTCTATGGTAACAGGAAATGGGTTCATAAAAATGTCAGCGCTGGGCTGGTGGATCTAGAAGAAGGATAAAAGGGGAAAAAACTGGGTACTTTGTTGGAGTATAGAAGAAATTGAAAAAGGCTGATATAATTAAAGTGAAATAACCAGAAATGAGTATAACTTAAGAGTTTGTAATCTAATGTTCATTGATAAACGTTGTTAAAAGTAAAAAGAGTACTACTACTGTAGAACCTTAAGTTTGGTAAGTTAAAATTATTACATATAGTTTTTAAAACTTCAGGTATTCTAATATTCTAACTGACCCTTCTGAACACCTTTAGATATCCAAAACAAGAACTATAGGAACTATATGAGACTTTTTTTGTGACTCTTCAAATGAAGATTATAATCAGTCAGCTTGATTTTATTATTAAGGGTATGTCCATGTATTCTTATTCTATAACTTTTTAGAAAGCAAGTTTAAACCGATTGTCTTAGGAACACTAGCTTGAGACCTTTAAAGCAAGCCATGGATATGTCAAGTTCAATAAGTCATGTGACTATATGGATGAACCAGTACAACCAATCCTCCAATTGGGCTGGGCAATAACAAAAAAAAATTTCAGTCCAAAATACTTATTTGAGGAAGGGAATCACATAACTACCGTGTCTCACTCTTCACCTGTTTTTCTATGGTTGCTTTAGCACTCACCTCTAAGGGTTTCATATTCAGTCGTCCTGTGTTACTCAATGAAGGACGCCTTTCTTTCTTTATCTTTCTCATATTATATGTGTCTGATGAAGAGTAACTTCTCCCATCTATTGATGCTCTTCTCACTTCTGCTATGCTATGTCCAGTGTTTTTTAAACACTCCATCTGAAGTTTCTCAAGAGGTTGAGTTTTTATAGAAATTACTGCTAAGTGGTCTGCAATAATGCTTGGATCTATTTTGAGTGGTTTATTCCCAATATGTGGAACTATTTTAACTGGCATTTCCTCTCCAGTTGAACTTCGATTTAACTCTTCTCTCTCTTTGTCAGGGATCACTTTAAAGGCATGGTCTTCTGCCTTTTCAACAATTTTATTAATATCTAGATCTCTAAAGAGATCAACATTTGAATTCTTTGAGTCATCTGTATTTACTGGAAAGTTTGAAACTTCATTAATGATTAAACTAGCCACTTTTTTAGGGAAGACTTTGTTTTTATTTTTTATATCATAGTAAAGGTCTTTATGGCTTCCAGATTGAAGCAGCACATTACTATAAACAGAGTCAATAACCTTAGAAATAATTTCTACACTTTCTGTATTTAAAAACTGTTCTTCAGAATCAGCAGCAACAAGACTAATATTACTTTTGGAAATTTCAGCTGTCACTGATTTTGTCAGTTGAGATGCAATTTTATTTAACTCAGGCTTTGATAAGTGTTTTGCATATTTGCTTGAGGCACTTGGCAACCTTATTATTTTTGCCAAGAATAAGGCCAATGCTTCCTCCAAAAATGTGGCATCTAACGTAGAACACTTTCCAGATGAAGACTTTTCCTGGGACTTCAATTCATCAACAATTTTGACCACTTTTTCCATAATTTTGACAGCTTCCAGAATTGATTCTGAACTTGGTACTTCTTCTTTTACTTGAGTTTGAAATTCAGAATTGGAAATTTCCTTCACCACTAAAAATCCTATTATATCAGGGAGGACATTGCTCTTTCCCATTAAATCTTTGAATATAGAAGTATGTGAGCCATAGTGGTTTAAAACACTGGTATACACAGAATTAACTACTCTTTCAATAGTTGCATTGTCAGCTAAAGTAACAGTAGGCAATTCCTTGGCTGGTGGTACAAGTTTAATCTTACTTTTTGAGATAGATTCTTGTATTGAATTTAACACTTTTGAGACTATGTTTTGCATTTCAGTTGCTAGAGATTTGTTTCTTTCTTTATCCACTTTTGGAAACATGTAAAAAAGCTTTGATAAAAATTTTACAGCAATTTCTTCTATTACGTCATAAGGCAGTATATGAGCATGTGATGGCCGAGGCTGGGGAGCATCAGTAGTTTGCATAACATCTTTAAGAATATTTTCAACAATACTGTCAACTTCTGCACACTGATGTGGAGTTAGCTCTCCGGAAAAATAGTTCTGCAACTGATTACCAGCCACCTCTCGTAGAACTAAATCAACTATGGCTTCTGAAATGATTCTGCAGCCACTCCCTACACAATTTTGTATAATCTCTTGTGATCCAAACTGTGCCAAGAGATTATTATAAATAGAATGAACCACTAATTGAATAATTTCATCATCATTAGGATGTAAGGATTCCACATACTGAATAACCATATCTTCATCTTTGGAGATCTCTGTTGTGACTGTACTTAATAACTTCATTTGAAGGAAATCGAGTTCAGTGAGCCAGTTGCCCTCAGATGTATCCACTTTGGTTTTGGATACTATGCAGAAAATTTTAGATAAAAGAGCAGAAATCAGATTCTCTAAAAATTCATGAGTCAGCATGATGCTGTATGGTAATGATGTTTGACATTCTTTACTGGCTGTTTGAGCCACCTTTCGGACCTTCTTGACAACATCCTTAGAGTCCAGAGGCAAACATGCTGAAGCTGGAACCTCGTCACAAAACATCAAATTAAGTCGATGTTCAAAAATTTCATTTATCACTGCCCTAGTTAGTCTTCTCGCTAAGTTTTCCCCATTACTCTTTATATTCTTACAAATGGAGTCTTGAGATCTATATTCCTTCAAAATATTGCACACAGAGGAGTGGACAACTTTGTTAACCAATGTTTTGTCTATTGCTAGTGTTCTATCTAAGAAAGATATGTTATTTTTAGTCACTTTATGCATGTGTGGCATTTTATCCATAGTTATTTTCTTAATGTTAGATGCTGCTTCATCTGTAGTTGATTCTTTATGCTTGTGAGAAACTTTAGGAACTGATGATACTTTAGCTACAGGTGGAAAACACTGATTTTCCTCATTTGGCCTAAATACCTTAATTTGAGCCTCTGAAAACGCATTTAACAGTGAATCGATAAGCTTCATAGCTGTGTCATAGAGTTCAGCATGATTTTGGTCATCACACACATTTTGACCCTGATCATGTGTTTGTGTTTCTGGTGAGGTCGAAAAAATCAATTTGTTAACCATTTCGGTGATAACATCTTCTAAAAAATTAGCAGGAAAAATTCCAGGTTTATCTTCTGCTGGGTCTTGAGGACTGTCTGGTTTAGTAGAATCATTTTTGATCACCTTAACTTCCACTCTGTCTTTTTCTCTCTGTTTTTTCTCTCTTTCATGCTCTCTTTCTTTCTCTTTTTCTTTTTCATTCTCTTTGGCAGGGAGATTTTCATTAATTGAGGGGGATAAATCCTTTATTGAAGCATACTGTATAAAATCCTTGCTAATCTCTTGAATTACAGAAAATGTCTCACTTGAGGGACTTTGAAGATTTGAATAACCCACTGATTCTTGAGAACAACTGTCCTTAGAAAGTGATTCTAAGATATTATCATAAATATTTTCAGTGATATTTTGGACACATTCATAAGCTGAGCACTCTCTCTCATTTATATCTATCAGAAGTGGATTGTCTTTTCTCTCCTCAATGTTTGGCTCTCGGGTTACTGTTTTCCTAGTTGTTTCTGTTGTCCCTGCATTTCTTGCTTTGGGTGTCAAAAATAACTGGAAGGACTTCTCTTCTTTTTGAAATAACTTTTCTTTTGTTTTACCAATCTTCTTTTCATTGTTTTTTTCAATATCTGGTCTAAGTATTTCTTCCTTACATGCCATATCATCAGAGGCTCCTAGAATTTGTGTGGGTATCTCATTACCTTGCTTCTCTTTGTCTTTTGAAGCTAATTTTTGTTTCTTTTCAGTTTCATCATCTTTAAGTGTTACCCCAAAATCTGGCTTCTGAGTATCTTCACTTTTCACACTAGTATTTGGAGATGTAGCTTTTGTTACAGTCCCAGTACATTTTTTAATTGAAGTTGCCATTGTACTGTCGTTCTCTTCCTTTTCATTTGTCACACCTGCAACTGATCTTGAACACAGGTTAACAATGTTCTCTTTCACAGTTCTAGTTATAGAAGTGACTTTTGGATCTTGAATGTCGCCTTTTTTAATAGATGTCTCCTCAGTTTGGAAACTTTTCTTTATACTCATTACACTTCTATGTATTCCCAAAATGTCTAACAAGTTTCTCTGGTCTGAGGTTGGAGAAGTGCGCTTGTATGGTTGCTCTGAAAAAGTGAGTGGGTTTCCTTTTACACATCTATTCTGTGTGGGGCTTTTCTGTGATAGGTGTTGAACCCTTTGCATGATGTTTTCTGGATTTAGAAATGAAAAGAAGGTGGATGACCAGTCTCCTGAAAAAAGTGGTTGAATCTTGAAAGCAGAGATTGCCTTTTGGGCTAAACTAACAATCATTTCTATTCCACTGTTACTTTTATCATCCTTCTGAATTTCATTAGACTCATACTTTCCTATGAATTGATCGTACACAAAATTGGATATCTTATCAACTGTCTCTTTATCAATTGGTGGGAAAGCAAACATTTCTTCAGCATTTGGTAGAACTTTAATGTCATTTTTCCTAAATTCTCCTATCAGAGAGTTTGCAAATTTTATAGCCAAGCCCACAATGTCTGTCTCTGGCATTTCTTTTTTCTCAAAATCTTCAGTAATACTTGGAAGAGAAAGAAATTTGCCAACAAGGTCAACAATTAAATCTTCCAAAAATGTGGCTGAATATAGAGAAGTCTGTGCCTTTCCTTCACCAGGTTTGGTGAGTACAGAGACATGGTCATCATCACTGCGAGAGGATTCTTCACCGAGTAAAAATGGTTGCAGGTGATGATCCATGATTTCCTTCATAATGAAACCAGCTATTTTACTGAGGAATGAGCCTCCTTTTTTGTCTGCATCTTTTCTCACTTCAGCTTGAAATTCGGATTTTTTCAAGATATTATTACATATAGAGTCAACCAAATTCTCAATCACTTCTAACTGCACACTTTCTGCATTGTCTTCTGCTGTGGCAACACGGATTTCATGTTCAGAAATTTCTTGGATAATTTCATCAGTCAATTTTGAAGCTGCATCCTCAAACTTATAATCTGGTGAAACATCTTCCTCTTTTAGTTCGCTTTCAGTGTCAGCTGAAGGGAAGAAATGCCCTAGAAGCTTATAAATTATATCTTGCAAAAGAGAGCGAGGCAGCATAGTAACACATGATGGGAAGGTGTAGCTATCCTTCAAGATGACATTTAGCACTTTTCTGATGATATTATCAGCTTTAGGGGAAGTATAGGAAGTAGACACTAATTCTCCTGAAACTAACGATTGTACCTGATATTCATAAATTTCTTCTAGCAGCAAATGATATATTTTCCTTCCAAAACAAATAGTGTCACTTTGTATAGTGCTGTATACTTGAATCAGAGATTTATATTCATCTAATATTTTTTCATAAATTTGGTTGACTGTTTTTTGAACCATTTCTTTATATATCTCTGAAAAACATATATCATTATCAAGATAATCTGCAAGTAAAATCTCTGATGTGGTGAACTCCAGAACAATTGATTTTACTAATGTTGTAACAATGCCAGTAATTTTGAATTTTACTGTATCTGGGTTTTCAGCAACCAAGAAATTATGTGAGAATGCATAGAGGAGTTTACATAAAAGTTCAGAAATTACTTCCTCCAAAAAGACAGCTGAGTTCACTATGAAAGACAACTCTCTTTGTTTAGAATTAATCGCTTTTTGTTTATCACTTTGATCAAATGCAGCTGAAATGAAAGTTTTATCTCCAGATGAAAATGACTCAAGATGATGGTTAAATATTTCTTTTATTATAAAACTTGCTATTTTTGAAACAGGTATGTTACTTATATCTTTTTTATCTTTTGTAAGAGACTGGTAGACATTTGAATATGAAAGATCAGCATGGATGGAATCAACCATGGATTGAATATCTTTCTCTGAAATCATACTTTGTTTTTCATTGCCGTGTTTGACAATACATATTGCATGTTTTGAAATTATTGATATAATTTCATTTATCAGTTTTATAACTGTATCACTTAAATCTGATTGGGAAGTATCTGTGCATTCTGCACTGGAGGCCAATGGACCCACTTGAGATATAAGTTGAGTAACAATTTTTTCCAAATGAGTATGTGATAACTTAGTCGTATATATTGTTGATGCCTGTCTTTGGAATCTTGATTTAGTAATGTCACATTGAACTCTGTTTATCAAAACATTAACATTTAGTTTGGAGAGTGACTGAAAAGGAAGCTTTCCTATAATATTTGGATGAATTTGGAAATCAGAAATTTCAGCCAGAATGATGTTAGTTATCCTCACAGCCAATGTCTTTGCATCATTTAGAAAATCATTATTGGGCATTATTTTCATGTCATATTCTTGCAAAACTTTGCTGAATACCACATCAATAATATTTTTGACTACATCTCTCTCCACTGGAGGCAAACACAATTGTTCCTCTGCATTCTCTATAATGCTGACTTGGGCTTTTGAGAATTCCTCTGCTATCAAATATATGAGCTTTTCAGCTTTATCAAAAAGTTCATTTTCTGAGTCTCTTACTGATTTTGTTTGTACAATGCCTAACACCCTGTGGAATATTTTGTACAAAACTCCAGAGACCACATCTTCCAAAAAAGTTGAAGAATAAACACTAGCATAAAACCACTGCCTTGTCTCATTGTCAAGATACTTGTATGATGAGGAAGACAATGACCTTCTATCTAGAAATGGCTGGAGATGGTGTTGACAAATATACTTAATGATAAAACCTGCTATTCTATCAATGAGAGCATCGTCACTCCCTGAGATATTTTGCTCAACTGATTCTTGAGAGTCAGAGTTTTGTGAAATATTTTTGAATACTGAGTCAACAAGATGGTGAACATCATCTTCTGAATAAACAAACTTGGTTTCTTCTTCATCTTTTGAGAAGTGAATTTCATGTTGAGAAATTTTCATCCTAATATCATTGATTATATTTGAAGCAATTTCATTGAAATTCACTTTTGATCTGTCTTTTAGAGATTCTGTGTTCAGGACAATGTTAGGTACAGAAGGAAAGATTCTAGATAATAATACTCTGATCATGTCTTCTAAAAATTTGTAAGGCAGCAAAGTGTTATATGGAGATAAACTCTGATTTGGCTTGGTAGACTTATTGATATTACTAATAATATCCTGAACGATATTCTCAGCTGTGGAAATAGAACGGGAAGATGATGTCAAATCCCCAGAAAACAGTGGATGAAGAAGGCAATCTGAAATAGCTGCTACAATTAAATTGGTAATATTTTCCACAAAAATTTCACTTTCTTTATACTCTTCATCAAACTCTGGGTCTAGCCCATGCTGTTTTAAAACATTTCTATAAACTGAGGTGACAAGTTCATCTACAATGTCTGTATCTACAGAGGGGTAAGACTGCTCTTCATCATCACATAGAACAGGAGTTTTAGTTTTGTCAAGATGGCTGTTTACTGAGTTCACTATTTTCTGTGCAATGTTTTCCAGCTCAATTTCAGTGTTATCCTTCGGACTGAAAATCTTTGATAAAAGTTTGGCAACAATTTCCCTGATGAATATGTCAGGGTAAATACCTATGGGTGATGGCGTCTTGGGTTCATGTGACTCTATGACTTCACTGAGGACCTGTTTAACCATGTTTGATATTGCATCCAATGGAGTATTTGGATGAGGCAAACTTTCTTCACACAAAAATGGTTGAAGATGATTTTCAATAACCTCTTGGATAATAAAACTAGCTATTCGGTCAACCATAGTTGGGCTTCGGCTGATTATACTTTTCTGTATTGAAACAAGAGAGTCAGACATTTGCATGATATTACTGTAAACAGAATCCACCATGTTCTCGAGGTTTTTTCCTGTACATAGATGCTGATTATTATATATAGTGAACCAAATTTTATGTTTTGAAATGGCTGATATAACCTTATTTACTATACAGTTAGACAATTCATTAAAGTCTGAAGTTGTGAAATATTTTTTCCCCAAAGAGGTAGTCTTCCTGGATGGAGCAGTGAGTTGAGATAGAAGTCTTCTGATGACATCTTCTAAAAATGAGTGGGACAACCTTGTGCTATAGCATGTTGAACTGGATTTTGAAGTAAATTCTCTCAGGTTATTTTGTAGTTTCTGCAGTATTATTTCAGCTTTGAGAGGGTAATATGAATTAGGTGTGAGCTTTCCCATGATGCAAGGTGGGAGTTGGTAGTCCAAACTTTCTAATAATACACATTTAGTTATTTGTTCTGCTATTGAGGCATTGTCATGTGCCAGATTACCAGCACAGGTTACCTTTGATTTATATTTTTGTAAAACATCATCATAAACTGAGTCAACAATGCTGCTAACAGTTTCTTTATGGACTGGTGGAAAACATAGCCTTTCTTCAGCATTCCGTAAAACAGTGACATGTGCATTATTAAACTCATTCACTACATTGTTGACAAATAATGTATTTATCTCATTAAGCCAGGCTTCAGTAATGTTTTCATTTTTGCCCCACAATGAAGTAGAGAGATTAAAAAACAGTTCTGAAATTATTTCCTCTAAAAATGTGGCTGAATAAACTCCTGTATTTATATCTCCCAGATTTAGCTTATTGTGGATGGCTATTGTATCCATATCCTTTGTTCCCTGTCTTTTAAGAGGTGACACAGAAAAAGAATTTACTGAACACTTATTGCCAAATGGTGCTTGTATTATGGGGCTAACTGTACTGGTATTATTAGGGGATCCTGTCAAAGCACTACCATCATAATTCATAAATCCTAAAGAACCTGTACCTTGTCCTAATTCTGCTAATTCTGGCATTTTTGCTTTTATAAAACTAGACTGTATTTCTCTTGTTCTATATTTTAAATGCTTGTTTGCAGCAGGTGGACTCTGGGGGAGTTGCATACTGTGACATAGTTTGTCCATCAATGATTTAACCAAACTGTGGGAAATGATTGTGAGAATAGAGTCTGATGACAATAAATCTTGATCCATTTTTGCCAGATGTTCCAAAAGGTCTGACTTGTAATCTCCTTGAAAATGTTCATAGTCCATTGCTCGCTTACAATAATCAAATTTTTCATCTTCTACACTTTGAAATATTTTTAAAAGTTGACATTCTTCTGCTGGTATTTCATCAGTAAGAGAGCCATTATCAAGAAAGACAGAGCTTGTGCATTTTTCCAAAAGTGTTCTAATAAGTTTCTGACACACGACATTGAGAAGAAAAACTGAATTGGGAGTGAGCCCTAAGTTATTTCCAAGTATTCTATTACTTTGCTGATCGTTCAAGGATGAGAAAAATGTTCTTGCTTTTTTATCAAAATCCACAGTGTCATATGGGTGTTCATCTGGAGAAAATAAATCTAAAACAATATTGAAGACTTTATTGACTACTTCTTTGGATTCACGAGTTTCTAGGTTGTTAACTAGCCTGCCTAACTTATGTGCAAGGTAATTTAATTTATTTTTTTGAATGAGATAATCATTTTGCTGAGTAGATGATTCCCAATCTGTGCAACCCATCTGTGTTTTCATAGTATTTGTTTTGTTGCAAATTGGCACACTATTGCTTCTGAGCATGGAAAATGATTTATTTCTTCTATTGCTTTCAAAGTGATGAGTTATTCCTATTTTTTTTGACAGTACATGAATCACTCCTATTAAGAGATCCTGAAAGAGATTATCAAAGTCAGCAGCAACTATTCCTGGGCAATAAATGTACTTTGTTTTTAAAGAACACATTTGCTGTTCAATATTAGCTTCTATAATGTTACTATTAAAAAGAGTTTTAGTAATCATTTCAGAAATACTTAAAGCAAGTTCTCCAATAGATATTGACCGGCTTTCAAACACTTGAGAATAAATTAAAATAACCTTGTTAAACTCTACATTTTGGCTTTCCCATGCTCTCTCCTTTTCTCTACCATCTTTGGTGCTATCAGAAATGCTTAAAATTAAATGGCAAATGACAGACTCAGTGAGATGTTCACAAAATTGATAAAGTGAAGAATCGCTGTATATGGTTCTTAGAGGCTGTTTTGATTCATATTCTTTCCTTGATAGTGAAGAAACAATAGACATCTTCTCACTGGACACTTAAAAGAAGAAAACACAATTATTAGCATGTAGTAAGATAAATATGGAAAATTCAATATAGCAATAATTGTTTACATATAAGTCTCACCTTTGGAACAGCTCACTAAAGAAAAAGAAAAATCTAGTCAAGAAAAATTATTTTTTCTTCTAATAGTTATTTCCCATCTTGTGGAATCTTAATTTTAGCCAGAAAGTTGATAAAAAGAACCCTAGGGAATTGAAGTTTCTCAGTCAAATGCTGATATCCTCCTTGCTTAAATGGTTATGGACCCTAAGAAGTTGGAAACTCTGAGGTAGAAATATGATTTTCAATTTGAGTTTTATACCTAGCATATCTGCAGTGATCTCAGAGACCTCATGTAATTATATCAGAAATATTTTTAGTGAAAACATTTAATGTTATTCTATATATTACTTTTAGGAAACTGAGGAGGTGTGTTGCAATAATGACTTGGCTGAAATAAAAGTGTGCTAGCTCCAGAAATGTAAGAGATGGATGACTGTGTCAGTAGTACTTTAACCTCTAGATTACAGTTTTTTACAAAAATGGAAGGCCAAGCCAGCCAGACTCAGGACTCCCTTCTTTCTTCCATTCCACAGAGTATTTACTGCAAATCATGTACCTGGTTGGGATGGCCAACTTTTTTGAATTTTGGTAAGAGCAGCTCTTCTTTCTCAAAACTTCCTCAGAACTTAATAATCTGTTGTACCCCTGCATGTAGAGTCAGGTATGTCTTTGTGGAGATGGGAGGCTTTTAGCTGAGCTTTGACTGCTTGACAAGACTTGCCCACACTGACATGAAGGGAATGAGGAACAAAATGTTCCACATGAAGGAGGAACCTGAGTGAAACCATTTGAAGGCTCAGGACATGTCTGAGAATAGAGAATTATTTGCCAGAAGAACCAAATGTCAATAGGATGGAATCATGAATCCCCTTTTGTTAGTTTTGTTTTTGTTTTTGAAGTTCAATTAGCTATGTGAGGAGAAAATCTGTTTTTGAGCTTGTAGCTGGAGCCACACAACTGTCCATCTTCAAAAAAAATGCCAGTTTTAAGAATGAAAAATGACCTTTTCCTATAGGTGTCGGGACTGGTATTATATGCTCTTATTTGAATGTTGGGCAAGTGATTTATCTGGACGGGTAATGTAGCAACTCATTACTGGTAAATGGAATTATTGCTCCAGTTAAGGGCTATTCTAGTATTATTAGATTCAATTTTATGAAATTGCCAATAATCAACAGGTTTGGACATACAAAATGGCTCTTACATGTGGTTCAACCTAACATACACAGACAAGCATCCTTAGAAAAGGAGTGAAAATATCTTTGTAAAAAAATATCTTTGTATGTTTAGAGTACCACACCTAAAAGAAATTCAAGAATACTGTAATGTAAACAAGATCTTTAATACCGCTGTTCTTATAAACTGTGAATAATGGCAAAGGCTTCAACTGTACACCTTGAGAAGATGAAGCACTAACCCACAATCAATTAGCTGTGGCTTTGGTATAAAGAAGCCATGCATAAGAACTTTAAAAAGTTTTTGGAACTCATACCTTATGCTCAACACTGCTTTAATATAGTCCCATTATAGTCCCATTTTATCTCATATGCAATGAACTCTTTCAGGTCGAAATCATGCGTTAAACTTTTTTTTAAAGTATCCTGATGTATTAAGGAGTATTAAATACCTCAGCTCCTAGGCTGTTTTCAGAAAAATGGTAAATGTGACTTTTTAGAGAGGAGATCTTTAAATGTATCCATTTTTCTAAATTATGCCAATTTTAAAGTAAGTTATCTTTTGCTTACCTCTAGTTTTGAAATTCTGGAAATAGGTAACCACAGATGTGGTTACGTGTCTTGCTACCAAATTAATTTCATTTGGACCCAGTTCATGATCAGCAAAAGCAATGATGTTGAATTCCTTCAGGGTCTTTATCTTTGGGTGCTTAATATGTTCCCATTTTTGCAGTAAAGAAAAATCTCCCCTGCTCGCTTCAGAATTTTTGTTTTGTTCTTCAGGTATACAGCTGATCCTTTTATCCCACATCCCTAGCAAACTTTTCTTCTCATTCTTTTGTCCTCCAGGGTTTTGCTTTGATATGAAAAATGGTTTCATTGTTTCCATGCTTTCATTACTGGGTGGCTGACTTGGAAAACCATAGCTTGATAGCACAGTATTGACAATATTTTCTGCAGCTAAGCATATTTTGAGTGGTGAAACAGCTGTCTGAGTCTGGTTTGTTTCAACAATTGGTTTTTGGGCTTCATAATGAAACACTTTTGGATTTCCACCTTTTCCCATTTCTATGAATGACATGCCTTGCTTTAGTGATTCTTCTGTGGATTCATTCACTTTCTTAAACAGTTTTTGTAAGACGCTGCCTTCAGGAAGGGAGCTATTTCCTTTTGTGGGTTGATAAAATGGCCATTCCCTTGCACCGTAGTTTTGTACTTTGTTTCTAAAGCATGTTGCTGTATTTTCTGAATCGGGCCTTTCCATTGGCTCTGAGCTTTTAATTGGGTCTTCTGCAGAGCCTCTGACATACAAAGATAAATTTGATGATGCCTTATAGTTTTGTTTCATATCTTCCTCAGAATGAAACACCAAACCAGGCACACTGATTTGTGGAGGATTATTCACAAAACTAACTTGCTTTAACTTTGACATGGGAATTTTTATATTAGTTGCTAATTCAACCTGATTAACAATGTAGGTACTTTCCACTCTTGGGCACAAACCTTCCATTGGAAGATTTTTTATTAGAGACTCATTGAAATAAGTACACTGGTCTATCAGTGTGCCAATGATCTCACTTGCTACAATGTTCTCATTCAATACGCTAATTGATGATGGTTCTGTTTGGGTTACTTCTTTGTCTAGCTCATTCTTAATTATATCAAGCATGTCACTGATGATATTAACAGCATACGTAAGCAATTCTGAATGGAATGAATGAACACGTAGAAGAGTATTCTGTACATTCTCCTTGGAAATAACAGTACTTGACTTAGATTCATCAGAAAACTTTTTCAGTGGTTGTAATTTTGGCAACATCTTTTTGGTTAATTGTTTCTGTTGGACAGGAAAAAGGTTTTCTATAGGCATTTTCACTATTTCAGAAAACTCATATTTAGAGATATGTTTAAACTGCAAGTCTACAAATGACTCTAACATGTTTAAAACCCTTTCTACAATTTCTTGGACAACTTGCTTGCTGGAACCCAAAGAAGTTTGGTCTTTTGCATTCATGTTGTGGATGGGTTCACTGCAGAGGCTGCCCTTGGTAGGAAAACCACGCTTTCTATTTGCTACAGTTTCTTTACTCTCTCGGCTGGGCATCCGGGACAAAAAGCACAGCTGTAATTTTTCAAATAGCATTTCAACAATTTCCCGTCCAAACATATTAATTTGTGCTTTGGTATCCTCAGCTCTGGTAGAAGTTCTTTTAAAACAGTTATGGAACTTACTTTCACAATCCTTAAGATGTGGCAAATTTAAAAGTGAGAGAGAAGATTCTAGTTCTTTTGCTTTTCTTGAAATTACAGTCAAAACATTTTCAGCTATCATCAATAAGTTACATTTTTCACTTTCTATGTCATTTGATTCTGCTTGCCATTTGTCAAACATCTTTTTAAATATACCATCTTTAGGAAAAATCTGTTCTAGCTGTGAAGAAACATTTTCCAAGTAGAAACATGCTTGTGTTTTGGCACGAGACCCTGCACCTGCATTCTCCTGTGATTGTCTGAGGTCATCCAGATGTGAGAGTTTGATTGGATGAGCCAAACTCTGGTTATTTGTAGCATATAATTCTTGCAAAACTGTTTTAACTATTTCATTTGCTGCCATAATTTCATCAAATGGTAGAGCTTTCACATTTACCATGGCTCTAGTGTGCCTCACCTTTTCCAATTCTTTCACAGTTGTTTCCAGGATATTACTAATTATATGCTTGGCATATGTTTTGAGTTCTGATGTAGGCAGTTTCATTTCTAGTAAGCTTTTGACATCCCTTGCTGTTAGGCTATGTGACTTCCCGATGGCAGTCTTGGGCTGGCTGTCTTTCGGAGTTTTCTCTCCAGGTGCTAACTTGGTCTTGCTTTTGGCCTTAACACTGCTAGTTCCTAGGGATGGTTTTGTTTTAAATTTAGGTAAAGAGGTAACTTTTGATTTTGCTTTCAGATTTGTCTTAAACCCTGGCTGAAGGCTGCCCTTAGGGCCCACTTTAAAACTATGTAGACTAGGAGGTTGCAACTCATCCAAACCACCTTCAGGATATGAAGCATCTTGTAGATGAAATGAAGCAAAATTAGTAATCTTACTGATAACCATTTGGACCAAATCTTTCCCCACTTGCAATGGTGAATATTGTAGAAAACTGTTTTCTAATAGAGAGACATTTTCATTGCCTGTATAAGGATAAACCTGCTGTGTCATGTATCTAGTGGAATCACTCCCTTTTCCTGCTTGTTTAGTTTCTGTGGCACATAACGGTTTCTTGGGTAAAGTATCATTGTTATCAGATGCTTCTTCTTTTTTATTACTTTCATATAGAGATGATACAACTACAGAGTACATTTCCCCTAAAACAATTTCTATTATGTCATTGGCTACACTATTAATATGTGGTTGAGAAAAGTTTTTTTGTGTTATGACTGATGTTCTAATTTTAGAATTAGATGCCAAGGGGGTCTCATTAAAAGGAGGCAAATGGCCTTTGATTTCCAGTATTTGTTGGTACACTTTATTTAAAACTTCTTTCACTGCACTGAGCAAGGCAGTTTTCTCCTTTTGTTTTGATTTTTCATTTCTCATAAATATTTCTTCCAAAACAATTCTCTGGCTCTCCTTTTCCATTGTCATTTGGTTTTGTTCTAATGGATACCATGAAAACAGGGATAATTTGGTGTTTTCTTCCTGCTCTCTTTGTTCCAACAATATTTCATTTGATAAAGTTAATTGTGAAAATAAATTGTCTTTTGAGTAAAAACCAATTTCCCTTGCAGATCTCTTATCATTTAAAATCTTTAAGATACTGTTGACAATGTCACTCACAATGATGTTTTCTTGGAATGAAGTATCATTTGGATGTGGGTATGCCTTCTGGATTTCCAGGTCTAAGTCATTTTTAATAAGCTTCAAAACAATGCTGGCAATAGTGTCAGCATATTCCTTAAGACTAGCTTGTGAGAGAGGAATTGTGGCCCCGAGTTTTGCTCTGTAACTGGCAAGAGTGGAATCTGGGAGCTCTTGGCTGAGGATAGTTTCAGTGGGTATTTTCAGGACATTCATGTTTGATTCAATTTGGCTTGATTCATAAAAAATGCTGTCATCTAGTTTATAATTTTCCAGTTCCCGGCTAACAAGTGACTTTTCTTTAGGCTGGAAAGCAAGAGTTATTAATGAATCTATTCTTTTTGTGGCAAAAGATTCTAACTGCTTAAAAATAGTTTTAGTAATGAAGTTAGCATTCTCCTCACATGGGTCAGGAGCAGATTTCTTGCTGTCTTCCTTCTGTACTACAGTTATCTGACTATCCACAGTGTAAACTGATTTCAGATTTCTTGAAGATGAAAAGCGCTCTGTTTTTCTTTCACTTTTTGACCCCATAAGAGGACATGGTTGACACTCTGCTTGTGGAAACACGTTACGAAAGGTAAGGGGCAATCTTGCAGAAGCAGGATCCTCTGCTTTTATGCCAAGCATGACAGCAGAACTGAGATTATGAAGAACAATATCCACAACATCACTGGATATCAAAATGACATCTGATTTAGGAACTGAAAGTTTTGGAATAATCTTCTTTACTCCCTCCAAGTACATTTCAGAATTTGCTTCAGAGTGTTTACTAGTTATGCTGCATTTCAGAGTGGGCAAAGCAAATGAGAGATTATTTTGATACAGTGTTTTTTCATAAATATCACATAAGATACATTCAATGGTATCTTGTATTTGAAACTGAAGTACATTTCGATATTCAGTCTTATTAAACATCTTTTCAATGATACCTTCTTGCTGATCTGAATTAAGCTCTTTGTCAGAATTGTTTTTGCCACAATTACTTTTAGATGATACAATATCTAGCACCGTATTGACAATTTGACTTGCAATACCTTCAGGAACCATAATGTTGTGAGTTAATAAGGGACTTTCCTTTTCTCTGTCTAACTCATGTTTGATTCCTTGTAAAATTTTTCTGGCCACTTCTGTTGCATGTGTATTTAATTTATTTAAAGAGAGTTGGCATGAACTGGTCTTTTCTGACATAATATGATCCACTGTGCAGCAGGAAAACTGATAATCAGAGTATGAATCTTTGGCTGATAATACTTGGCTCAATGTCCTGTTCTCCTGCTGAATAGGTAAAGCCAATGGAACTGTGCAGTTGATCTGGGGACAAAAGAGAGATTTTACTTTGGAAGTAGCAAAAGTTTCTAGATTTGTTAATATTGCCCGAACAATATCTTCAGCTAAATTTACTGTAACCTGTTTGTCGGCATTGATACTGGACTGAACAGCACATGGACTCTTGTTCAGCACAGTGATAGAGGATTTTTGTCCATAGGTGTGTTCATGAAAAGAAACATTTGCTGAAAAGGTGATGGTTTTATACTTATTTTCACTTGCATTTCTCTGTGTCATGGCAACTGAATAAAGTTTATGAAACACAGTTCTAACAATATCATCTACTACTATGATTACATCTGCTTCAGACACTAAAGGATCCATCATTTTATCTGTAAATGGAACAGATGCTTGAGCAATTGGCTCATCAACATTGTGAGGGACACCACTTAAATGGGAGTGGGAGAGAGAAAGCACATTTAATTGACTGGCCAAAACACCTTGAAAAATTTCATTCAAAATGTTTCTAATAATGGGAATGAGTGGAGATTTCTGTGGTTCTTTCAGCTTCACTTCAATTTTGTTTAAGGATCTTTCTAGAATCCATTGTTTAAAATAATCTGATTTAGTTTCTTCTCTTAGTGATGTTCTCTCTCCAGGGAATTCTTTCTCTGTCTGTGCAGTGTCTTCTAGAAATGAATCTGATTCAGCTCCTCCCGGAAGAAAGTTTCCATAAGTTGGTTTGTATCTAAATTTTTCTATGTCTTTCTCTTCAGGTTCAGTTTCATTTAACACATCTGAGGATACTGCATCTAAAATTAAATTGACTATGTTCTTGAGAACTTGTTTCTCAGGTGGTGAGGTTTTTACACTTGTCCTCAAATCTAATGGATTAATATTTAATTCTGTTTGAATAGCTTTCAAAATAGTACTTGATATCTTCTTTGCATGCATGTATAATGTAGACTGCAACAGCTCTTTATGTGTGTCTGTGAAAACACTGGGACTTTCACATTTTAAGTCTATCTTAGTGCTTTTTTTATTTTCAGTGCTAGTAGAATCCAGAGTTTCTAAATTTCCATTGGCAAATCCTTCCAGTTTAGCAAAAACTGTATTAAGAATGTCGGAAGCCATAGCTTTCAGTTCATTTAGCTGTGTTTCTTTTGTGCTTCCTGTTTTGGAAGACGCAGGAGTCGTAATTTTTGCCTGTTTTTTAGTCTTCTTTTTATTATTCTCCTGAACCATCCTGGAAACTATGCTGGCGATTATGTCAGTGCATTTGGTTATTTCCTCAATAATTGAATCAAATGACAGGCTATCAATATCAAGAGACTCTGTGACAACTTTAATTCCAGAACTTGCAAAATTAGTATCCATGTTGACACTGCATAATTTTGCAAGGATATAGTCCAAAATTGTTTTGGAAATGAGCTGAATACTAGACTGCAATTTAGTAGCTATTTGCTGACCCATTTTCTCTCCGTGCTGGCCATCAGGATGTGCTCCTATGAGCTTACACAACATTTCATATAGTGCTTCCCCAATACTATCTAACACTTGCAATCTAACACTTGCATTCTCTTTGGGATCTTTTCCACTAAAGTCACTATGGAGAGCACATGGAGTAGCTAAATATTGGCGAAAAGATTTTTTATTGTGCCTACTAGGCAAAGTGTTTTGATTTTCAACCTTGTCAGGTCCATATGAAGTTGAAGGGCTTGACTTATCTGAAGGGAGTGAAGTGCCGCTTTGATTTGAATGTTCACTTGATGATAACATTTCACAAATACAAGTTAATAATGGAGATGCCATAATGTCATCACTGAAACTTGAGACAAGGGATTCTAAGTTATCAGTGTCAGCACAAAATTCTTTACTCGTAAGGGATTTGGTGTGGTCTGCATCCCGAAGATTCAGGTTTTTCTTATTGAGGTCCAATTCATTCTGGATAGCATGCAAAACAATGTTTACTACCTTAGTTGTGTAAGCACTAAGTTGAGAGTGTAGTGAAGATTGCTCTGCAAGTGAAGGTTTGAAGCCCATTTGCAATTTTGGATAAACGAGTGACTTCAGCTTTTTAAATACTGCATTAATGATGTTATCAGTAGTGTCTTCTATAGGTTTAAGTTCATTTTCTTCAGACTTTAACAAGGAAGGTTTTGCAGGATCTAAGTTGAGTGAAGATAAATATTTCATTTTATTTTCACTGTCAAACCATATTTTTAATGGTTTTTCACTTAATGCTTCTTTCATCATACTGGGAGTATCAGAACTATTGGGAGAAGTTTGATGAACCGATGCTGAAATGGAACTTTTGGCGCTATTAGGGATGCAGCTTGATGCCTTGTGAAGTATATTTAACACAGCATCTGTTATTTCTTGAGCTGCTTTATTAATTTCTGACACAGAGAATATCTGGTCTGTCCATTCTTGAAGTGACAGCCCTTGAGGTTTTTCTGAAACAAGAACTGAAGCTTCTTTGCCAGTTTTAATGTCTAAGTGACCAGGAGAGACAGAAGATAAATCCTTGACCATTTCTGCTAAAATACTTTTGAGTACATTTTGTGAAGCCTTTTGTATTTGATCCTTTTGATCTTGGCTAAAAATTAAAATGTCTTCATTCAAACAGGGTCTTTTCTCTATAATTTCTTTATTATTAAAACATGGTAACTCAGTCTTTAATCCCCCCTCACAAAATGCAACTTTGCTTTTTAGAGAAGCAGGCTTTGTAGGTGTTTTTCTTTTTCTTTTGTGTTCAAAACAGGTGTTTCCTTTTGTAAACCAATATTCAGAATTCTGTTCTTGTGACACTGCTTCTTCATCTTTAATAGATGAATCAAGCACATTTTTCACAATTTTGTCTATTTCTTCACTGTCATCTTCAGAATAAAGAACCATGCCAGGAACATTAATAGGTGGAAATTGTTTTCTAGACCTAGGGTCATTAGATAACCTAGTGCCAGTTAGTCTGTATTTTTCTTCAGTGTCAGAAAGACTTCTCAGTCTAGAGCGTCTACTTTTTTGAACATCTGCATTTACTGGCTTCTGATGTAGCTGAGTGAAAATATCATCGAGTAGCTGGAGGAATACTACTGTTTCTTCAGATGCAATAAGTCTCTCATTTTTAAGTTCAGTTTGTACATATCCTAGTATAGTGCTGATTGCTTCTTCTATATAGCCAACCAAAGAGGACTGGGAAATAATATTTGATATTAAATTTTGTATTTCTTCTTTAACAATTAAATTAGCTGCATCAGGTTCAGGACTACATTTATTTTTGTCAGTTTTTTTAAGGACCATATGTGTTGGGTCTATCATATGCTGCTGATAGAAAAGTTTTGTTGCATCTTTGAGATGAGGAAGTTCATCTTGCTTACAAGTTGCAAGAGTCATCAGCTTTTCTAGAATGGCATGCACCATATCCTCTGCAATATCACACATGGGTTCTGTAGTATAAGGCAGTGATGCTTTTAAAGGTGTTCCACTTGATGGAGTGAGATATTCTTCACTGGGTGGTAAGCTTGGATTTATGTCGGGTGACAACTCTTCTTGTGTAAACATCTCAACACATTTTTTCTCAACTGCAACCTGTAGCTTTTCAAGCATATTGTCCACGATCTCTGAAGCTATTGAGCTGATATCAACGTTGGACATCAAGTCTCTTTTTTCAGGCTCACTTTGATCAACAAAAACTTCAGCGGTAACAGAAGAAATAGAGGGAATGGCCTGGGTTAGATCAGACATTATTTCTTGAAAGATGCTTTCTAAAATCAATTCAGTTTCCCCCTTTAAGTGACACTTAAAGTTAACAAAAATCTTCTTTAGATTCTTTAGTTCAGCTTTTGCTTTTTGATCAGCTAAGCGTGGACTCTCTAAGCCATCTGTTTCAGTGGTAGCATCCTTAGATTTGCTTGTGCCTTTTCCAAATGATGCTAAAAGGTAACTATCAGATTTACAACTTCTGAGTTTAGGGCGTGCATATATCTTGCTGGTATTATGACATTTGAGTTCAGAAGTTATAGATTGTCTTTTCATGTGATATGTTTTTCCAAGGACTGTTCTTTCCACATGGGCAGAAGGTGATCCTGTTGTGTGATATGTTTTTTCAACAACTGTTCTTTCTATGTGGGCAGAAGGTGGTCCTGCCATGTGATATGTTTTTTCAACAACTGTTTTCTCCACATGGGCAGAAGGTGGTTTTAAATGTGCAGGTGGTTGCCTTACTGAGATGTCAACTGCAAAGGTATGGGGCTCTTCCTGAAATGTTTTAGTTGTTGTAGATGTATAGCTTCCATATGTAAACTCTTCACTACATGTGCTACAGAAACTTGAACTATCTGAAGAAAGGACTGACTCTTCAGATACTGAGTATGCATTATATTGCAGCCTTTCTTCATACTTTGTGATGGCTGGGTATAATATACTGGTCACTGTAGCCACAACCCAGGTCATTATGTTCTGAATTGTACTATTCAATTCTGCAGAAGTCACCTAGAAAGGAGGCAAGCAAGAATGAAAACAAAATCATGCAAGAACTTACTCTTCTGGGATAGAGGGTAACATATTTTTTTATATCCAGCAATGTTTAACTGGATACCATCATGGTGATAAAATGAATGTGTGTAGAATCTATTTAGAATTTCAGATTAACTTCAAATTTGTTTATTCTGTATACCATAGAATATTTTCACATACATTCCCATTTGATTCACATTCCCTCAGAACTTTTTACCCCCAAAATTTATTGTTGGGATATATAACTTTTTGATTAAAAAAATTATCACCAAATTGTCATCTAGAATTATAACATGAAAGTTATGGTAGCAAGAAGAAACATAATATCTATGACCCAGATAATTTCTAAAAATACAGCAGATTATTTCTAACAAAGTTTTTCTCAAAACAGATGTAGTAAAAACATGTGGGTGCCTTTAGAAGCGTCTGTGTAGCTCCCCATGTCCTGATGCAGGGATGTGCCTATGATCTGTATATATGGAGATGACTATAGGCAATTGTTAAGAATGATTTAATAGGAAACAAAAGATTAACGTCTTGTGGAGATTGAACGCTTTTGTATCCATCAAAAGAATATCAGTACAGTTATCTTGGCTAGGAAGGCCCAGGAAAGGTAATGCGATGAAGGAATCACTGGTTTAGATAAAAAATAAAGGCCGATCTAGAACTGGATCTTTGAGACAGGAGGGCTGAACAGGGGTAGGGAAGTGGAGAGTTTCTCATTTTGAGCCAAAAATAAAAAACAGGGACCATCTTTGGATGACCATTTCTTTAGATGTCAATGTTATTGTCACAAATAAAACTGGACCAAGAGTAGAAACCAAATGCATCTATACAATTCTATATCCCTCTACTTACTGAAAATCTACTTTGGGCTTGCAAAAATCCTATTGCCTGTAATAAGCTAGTGGGCTGTTTTTAAATTGTTACTACTTTTAAGACATGAAGGCTGTAAACAGTGACTGGCAGGAAAGTGTGCCAAGCTAGTATGTAGGCAGTAAGGTAAACAATAGTTCACGTCCCCAGTATTGCCTTAAGTTAGCATGGGGTTATTTATGTAGCATCCAAAGAAACATTATCGCCCATGTAGCATACTCTCTCCTGATGCATTTGCGAGTGTTCGGGGTACTCCAGGGAAAGCCATTTCTACCTGCTCTGATTACCTAATCTCCTAATGATATTTTTTTCACTTACTGTACAATTGTACAACATATTTTGGGTGATAGCATATGTTGTATAATACTTGTCTCACATAGTCACATCCTAAAACAAATACATTAATGAGAAAAAATAAATTTTAAAAGAGAAAGTAATTGCTCTAATTTACTACCACACATATAAACTAAGACATCCAATATGTATTATTTTTCTTATAATCAGAGGTAATAAACAATTGACCTACTGTGTTTTTCTTAGGTTAAGTGAGAGGAAGTGTTTCCTCTCCAACCTTGCTATATAAAAAAGATATTCCTAAAGTTTTCCATATAGTGAAATATGATAAATAGAATCTAGTTTTCAATTGTATTCCATCATAATAGTACACTGAGAAATATGCCCTTGAATCAAAGCTTTCATATTTACTGTGCATTCAATGAATTGAGAAGGTGCCCATGTGAAAAAGTACATAAGAATATGTGCTGCCCTCTCACCCTTTTCTCTTTTCTGGATGGTCTGACCAGATTCAGAGTTGTGACTTGAAAATATACCCTCCCTATCTGTCTGTTCCAAGTCTCAGTTCATAGGTGACTAGGAACCTTTTTATGTGAACTTCTTTGGTGACCAGCTCCCTTCCTATGACAATGGCTGACAGACCCAGGCATCCCAGCTCACCAGCCATATCTGCAAAACCATGCCATTCAATATCTTCTCATGACAGAATGGTTTTGTGGGATCTGAGGCTGTTCTTACAATAACTGGGCCCATCAATGCCCCTTGCCCCTTCTGTTCCCATGAGATCCCTTCTTGCAAGGCCACCATTATCTCTTGATAAGAACTTTACACCACTATAAAATCTAATAATTAACCAAAAGTAAAGATTAAAAGGGGGGAGAGGGCAAAGAGAGAGAGAGACTAATAACAATAGATGATAACTCATTATTTGATTCACATTTTTTTCTATTATGACACATTAGAAAGTATCATCAGTAGCTGTTTTATCAATGGATTTTGTGATACATACTTTGTTTTGCAAGCAATTTTGTAGGAGGTTCTGTTGTCTGTAAAAAAAAGGTAATCAATTATTACCTTTCATTACCAATTATTACCAATTTATTACCAATTATTACCAATTATTACCTCACTTATTAGGGTAAAAAATTTATGAAACTTGGTAAAAAATTTCTAATCACTGAATCAGTTTCTTCTCTTTATAGCTGAGACTCTTTCTACAGAAACTTAAAAGGAAGCATAAACTTTTTGTTCAGTCCCCTCAGATCCACTCAGTTCTCCTCATTCTTCAATACTGAACCACACACTTTATTACCCAGAGAAGTAATAACATATATATACCACATAAATATACATCTATCTGAAAAGTCTACTTCAGAACAACCTTATTTATAGCTGCTTTATGGGTCTCTGAGGAAGGACATAGAATTGGAGGGAGAAGGTGGGCAAGTCCTTTCTGTCTTCTAGACATGAGGTGGCAAAGCATCTGCCCAGAGTTTTCTGATAATCCTTTACTACCTCAGATTCCACGGCCCCATCCACATTCTCATCGAATAGTAGGAAGGGAATATGTGGGTGATTATTCAATAACTGTGGTTAAAACCACAGGTTTCTAGCCATTTTCAATACCAACTGATATGCAGCCCCTTTCCATGTGTAACAATTCTACCACATATTCTAATTAGAATTATCACCACCCACTGTTATCAAAGAGAGTTTTCTGAATTATAACAAATAAAAGAACAGCTCAAGAAATAAAACAATAAAACAAGAAAACAAATAGTTAATAAGATTTAAGACTAGTAGTTCTGCTTTACTTTCACATATTTCAGATATATAATATTTATTTTCATGTATTTCAGCGTTGGCCCTTTGCTTATCCTCTTCCTACTTTCGTAACAGAAAATGGACACTCCTTTTCCATTTTTCCTAGGCCTGTATTTTACATTACAAAATTTGGTTTTCCCAAAGCCTATAATTCAATTATGAGAAACAGTAAGGATGAGAATTCTATCCTAAATTGTGGCAGAAAAACCACCTCACTGGTTTCAGCTCAGGAATCGGGACACTCAGGCTAGTGTCTTTATGCCATATGGAACGTGGGGCATGAGAGCTGACATCAGGGACATAGCCATTATCTTTTGGCCTCTTTCATTTTTTCAGAATCTGGTTTCTTAGGATAACCTAAGCATAGTTTTCTTCTTTCAGATGTTCTGCAACCTGACTCTCCCTTATTTATTTTTCTGTTCTCTTCACATTATACTGTTGGCACCAAAGGGAACTCAAGGAGTCCAATATATTGACTGATACTTGTGCTCAACAAACTTCCTGCCTCAAAGGCATGCATATAGATCTAAACAAAGAGCAGAGACCTAGGAATACAATTAACCAAATAACTGAGAAAACTTCAGTGAAGACCACTAAAAAACAAATATAATAACCAGGTAAAAATGAAGGATAAAGAGCTCTGAAAATTTATTTCTCCATAAAACTATTGGGTTAACTGGAAAAAAAATTTTGTATCCTCACTGAAAGACATGCTAATTGATTTTAGAGAGAAGGGAAAGGAGGAAGAAAGAGAGGGAGAGAAAGATTGATGTAAAACAGAAATATCAATTGGAAGCCTCTTGCAGGTGCCCCGACAGGGTCCAAACCCACAATGCAGGCATGTCTTGGCTGGGAATTGAATCCATGACTTTTTGGTTTACAGGACGTTGCCCTAATGAAATGAGCCATAATGGCTGGAGTTGGAAATTTTTTCACAATTTCATGGTGAATGTTTTCATAGTTTTCATAAATCTGAAAATTACTTAATGGTATTCAGAAATCCAGAATTTTTTTTTAAGAAAAATGGCTCATCTTGGTAAGAATAGTGACGTTTGTGGTATTTTAACTTGTCCTCCTTCAGACTTCTTTCTACAGCTCCATAGTGTCTTTGAAAAATACTGCCTCACCACCACAGGGACATATTTGTTCACTGTTCTATCTGCCTAACATCTAGTATTATATTCTGAACATAGTAGATCCTCATTAAATGTTTTATAAATAAATTCCCATTTAAAGTGTTTTAGATTTGGGCCTATTCTCTTATAAAAAAGGAAGTCTTTGTGCAGGTCACTAAAAGAACTTTAGAAGTGGTTCCTAAATATTTTGCCTTCAATTTTTCTTATATATTGCTGCCAGAGTTATCCATCATGTATGCTAATTTAACCATGACATTCCCTCTTAAAATCATGTCAATAAATGACAATTTATTAATGTCATCCAATAAATAAACTGCAAATTTCTGACCTTAGTTGGCAGGGCAGCAGATTTATTGCTTTCTTTACTCTGTCACTCCTTATATCTTCCTTCAATAATATGAACTTATTATCTAAGTGCAATGCTTAATTTTTGCAGCTCTGGTTATCCCACTGTTCATTATTTGCTTTGCCTTCATAATCTGGGTTCTAAATTTCCATGTATATTTTATAAAGCTTTTTGAATATATGTTACCACTAGAAAAATTGGAACTAAGAAATAGAGGAGAGGGAGGTGATGGTAGAACAAAAGTGATGATTCCATAGTACAGTCATGAAATCTAAAGTTAAATCAGAAGACTGTGGCATGTGTAAGAGGGACAGAGCGAGACTAGTGAGCATTAGTAGCTGTTCTTTTGTTCGTACTCTGACCTGATGTAGGTTGGGTGAGTGCAGCTGAAAGTATTTTATTTCTGTCAATTTGGCAGGGAGTGATGAAGAAGCTCCAGGTCATGCATAGGTTTGTTCATTTTAGCTGACCTAAAATTTTAATAAAAGAGTTTGCAAAGTATTTTCTATGAAATATTCAAGTAACTCCGTGGTTCTGTAATCTTGGGTGGGGGAAAATAAAAAGATAGGGATTAAAACATTATTATAAGCCTCTTCTAATTTTTTAAAATAAATTGGCATATATATTTTCACTAAATAAAAATTTTTCAGTAAATAAAGAATGGTTATTTGTACATATGCTCATCATTATTTCACCTTGTTCTGTTTCTTTAACCTGGGCTAGTCACTTTTCTTCCTTCTGTATCTGTTACAGTGCTGTGGGCCCCATGAACCCTCAGTAGGTCAATCAAACTGACTTTCACCAGTCCTAAAGTGAAGATTTTTCCTTCAAGGAACTTTTGTCTAAATAAGTCACTTTTTACCACCCTATACCACTTAATTTTATCCAACAATTTTTGTAGAAATTTGGGATTCGTAAAGTGTGTACCCTGGACCTTATGTGGCATGTAGATTTTTTTGAAAGGTGATAGTATTGTGTCTGAAATAAAGTTTCTCTCATTTAAAGTTGAGAAAACCATATAAAAACACCAACAGAACAGGTGATCATCAAGTTTGAAGAATAAATGTCCCTTAGATTCCTAAAACTTCTTTCTCAAAGACTTGTAATTTCTATCATTAGAGATTATTATATTGGATTATACAGCAAATATAATAAATTTAAACATAATAAATGTTTAAGTCATTAATACTTATAGTAACATCACTTACTGTCCTTAGGAAGCCAATAATCTGTAAAAGCTTGAGGAATGGTATACATTTGAAAGAGAAGAAAGGTGAAAGCCCAAGTCCAAATCCTAAAAAGCTACCTGAAGAGGAAAGTCATGGTAGGACATACTTGAAAGTGGGACGAAGGCCCTGAGTATAGGCAGGTGCAGAACCACAATGAGGGTAAAAAAATAGAGAAGGAAGAACATTCACTTTGTCTATTTTATAATTTCAGCTCAGTGCTAAGAGTTATTAAAAGATAGAATTATCACAAAATCCAAGTAGAACTCTGAGGAAGATCCCAAATATTTCACTGTTGAAATCATGTAATTATTAAAATATTAATTTATAATTACACATTAGTTTCCTTCTATACTTACGTATGTGATGAAATGTGAGATGGGAGAACACCCTGGGCTACAGTAGAAGCCTGAGGTCCTATTTATCAGAAGAAGAAGATTGTAATTAATTTTTGTCCTTCCCTAGAATAAACTTATAAAACTTATAAAATTGTAATTATACCTCTTATAAAATTGTAATTATATCCTCTAGTAAGTACTCATTCTCTGTTGTCACCACCTTGTTTAAAAGTCTGTAGAAACTCTCTACCATGACATCCACCTTTTTTAGCAAGGCACAAAATACACCCCATACTCTGGTGTTCTTACCTACCTGTCCAGTGTTTTCTCTGACTAGTCTTTCAGATGTATCCTATGGTGCAAATACACAGAATAACTTATAATTTCCTAAATATGCCATGTTTTCCATGCCTTCAGACACTTGTTTTTGCTGTTTTCTTTGTCTAGAACACTTTATGCCTTCTTTTAACTTCTCAATTTTTTAGGTCCTCTAGAAAGCCTTTCACAAAACTTGCCTAAGTAAACATCTTTCTCTTTTTTTCCTTAAGCATCCTGGATGTTTCTATTTAAAACACATAATGCTATACTGTAATTAACTGTTTACTCTCCTGTCTTCCTGGCTATGACATAAATCTGCCACTATATCTTCAGAGCTTAACACATGTTAAGTATCTAATAATGTTTATTTGTTGAATGCATAATTTAATTAATATTTTTCCTCAACACTTATTCATTGATTTCTCTGTCACTGCTCTCTTCCCACTCAAATATTTTCTAATTTGCTTGGTATGTAGTCTAGCAACATTCCATTATTATATTGCAGTAAATACTCTGGATGAAGATGACATAAGAAGTCCCTGTGCAGAACATGTCTACAGGCACGCTGGATTGCTGTGTTTCAACTATGCAGATACTTAAATAAATAGAAGTTTTAGACAAACAGGTTGTCTTATTTACAGAAAGTAGTATTAATAATTATAGCCAGTTCAAAGTCAAGTTTAAGTGGCAACACTTCCAATAAATGAGTGACTAACAGGTACACATAATTTGTATAGAAAGTCTTACTTAAATCCTGTGGTCTTTTAGAGTTGGTTGGTATAAATTTGTTTTTTGTGTATGTTCAGTTTTGGAGAAGAAGCAACTGGAGTAAGGATACATACACCCAAGGAGTTAAAT